TTCGAGGCCAGCCTGAGCAAGAGCGAGACCCCGTCTCTTACTAAAAAAAAAAAAAAAAAAAAATAGAAATTAATCGAGCAAATAAAAATACATAGAAAAAAAAAAAGGAGCCGGGCGTGGTGGCACACACCTGTCGTCCCAGCTACCACTCGGCAGGGAGGCCGAGGCGGGAGGCTCGCTAGAGGCCAGGAGTCGGAGGCCGACGCCCCGGCGCTCGCTCCGGCCCGGGGGCGACAGAGCGAGAGACTCTTGTCCCTAAAAAAAAATTAAAAGGAGAGAAGGGCTCCCTTTATAAAGCCCCAAAGTGAGCGTTGTGTGTGTTGGGGCCTCCGCCCGGCCTCGTTTTTTTCCCCGGCCTCACGCGGCTGTCGGGGTGCCCCCCCGGGGTGGCGCCCCGGGTCGCGGACGCGTCCGTCCGTCTGTCCTCTGCTTGGCCGCAGTGTTCGGCATGATCATCACCATCGGGCAGTCGATCGTGTACGTCATGACCGGCATGTACGGGGACCCCTCCGAGATGGGCGCCGGCATCTGCCTGCTGATCACAATCCAGGTTCGTCCCCCAAGCCGGGACCGTCCCCCCGTCCCCCCTACACCGGGCGCCGGTCGCAGCTCGGGGACTCGCTCTGGGGGGAGGCCGAGGCGGGAGGCTCGCTCGTTGGAGGCCGGGAGGTGGAGGCCGGCCCGAGCAAGAGCGAGACCCCCATCTCTACTAAAAAAATAGGAAGGAATTAATCGGCCAATTGAAAACATACAGAAAAATTACAGTCCCGGCTACTTGGGAGGCCGAGGCGGGAGGATCGCTCCTTGGAGGTCGGGAGTTGGAGGCCACAGAGAAAGGAGCTGGACAAATAAAAATATATACGAAAAAAACGAGCCGGGCGTGGTGGCGCGCGCCTGGAGTCCCAGCTACTCGGGAGGGAGGCCGGGGAGGGAGGCTCGCACGAGGTCAGGAGTTGGAGGCCAGCCTGAGCAAGAGCGAGACCCCGTCTCTACTGAAAAAAACAAATAGCAAGAGATTAATTGGACAACTGAAAATATATAGGAACAAAACGAGCCGGGCGTGGTGGCACGTGCCCGGAGTCCCAGCTACTCGGGAGGGAGGCCGAGGCAGGAGGATCGCTTGCTCGAGGTCAGGAGGTCGAATCCAGCCTGAGCAAGAGCGAGACCCCCGTCTCTACTATAAACGGAAGGAAATTAATTGGCCAACTGATATATATATATAAAACGAGCCGGGCGTGGTGGCGCATGCCTGTAGTCCCAGCTACTCGGGAGGGAGGCCGAGGCCGGAGGATCGCTGGAAATCAGGAGTTGGAGGCCAGCCCGAGCAAGAGCGAGACCCCGTCTCTACTAAAAAAAATATAGAAAGAAATTAATTGGCCAAATAAAAATACATAGAAAGAAATATTAATTGGGCGTGGTGGCGCATGGCTGTCGTCCCAGCTACTCGGGAGGGAGGCCGAGGCAGGAGGCTCGTTGGAGGCCAGGAGTCGGAGGCTGCTGTGAGCGAGGCTGACGCCACGGCGCTCACTCCAGCCCGGGCGACAGAGCCAGACTCTGTCTCAAAAAAAAAAACCCCCAGTCCCTGAAGCAGGACAGACCCACGCCCGTGGGGGCCAGTCACACATAGTAGCAGACGGGGTTCGTGCGCTCTTGCCTCCCAGAGGCTGGCTTCAAACTCCCTGACCTCGATGCAAGCGATCCTCACGCCTCGGCCGTCCCCCTCCCGCAGTAGCTTGGGACGGCAGCATGGCGCCACCCACGCCCGGGCTCGCGTTTTTGCCACATATATTTTTTATAGTTGGCCGATTAATTTCTTTATTCTTTTTAGTAAAAGACCGGGATCTAGCTCCTGGCTCAGACGCTGGCCTCGAACCTCTTGAACCTTCGAGGCGACTCCTCCCATCCGGCCCTCTACCCGAAGGAAACGTATGCAGGGGACCTGAGAGACAATAAAAATATTATAACGCCACGAGGCAATAGAAAACAGCGCCGCATGCCCGCA